AGTGGAAAAAAAGGTTGAGAACCACTGGCTTAGAGGCTGGCCAAAACCAGCAAATGTCAATCACGTCATTCACCACAATACGTCGGTGCTGCGATCCCGTCCGCGCCGTCTATTCCTCTAACGAACGCCCACTTCAGTGGTGGTGTGGGATGTCCAGGCGCTTTCTGAAACTCTATCGGCGACTTTTCGTTATCTCTGCGTGCCTGCGACTTCAGTTCCTGCCGAGCGTGTTTTTTCAAGTGCAGGAATTTTATTGTTAATCGTCTCAGGTCCCGTACTTTCACCAGACCACGTTGATAATTTCACTGAACAAATAACGCATGGTCTGAGTAAGTAAAATGGGCATTGTTGCATTTTGTTTTTAGACAATATAGCCTACACAACGTACGTTTTTAAAAGCCGTTTTAATGCTATCTCTTGTTTTGTTTTAATATGTTGGCTAACGTTATATATGAAGAATTCTGTCAGGCTATTGATTGATTTTCCATTGTTCTGCATTTCCCCAGCTGATTTGAATAAATAAGCTATGCTTTGGCCGACGTTGAGTGTATGCTCTTCTTGTTTTTTTCTTTTTAACGACCGCCTAAAATGAAATTATGATAACGCGAGGCAAGTGTGCGGCAAGCGGAATTCATTGAGGGATTTGACAGAGTGATTCATAGATTAAGTATTTCAAATATAGGCTATTATATATGCTACTCGCACGCACAGAGGTTTTTTTTCTTACCATCTTTTAAGTGATGGTGACATTTGGCCAAGTATGGTGACCCATACTTGAAATTAGTGCTCTGCATTTAACCCATCCAAAGTGCACACACACAGCAGTGAACACACACCGTGAACACACACCCGGAGCAGTGGGCAGCCATTTATGCTGCGGTGCCCGGGGAGCAGTTGGGGGTTCGGTGCCTTGCTCAAGGGCACCTCAGTCGTGGTATTGAAGGTGGGAGAGAGCGCTGTACATTCACTCCCCCCACCTACAATCCCTGCCGGTACGAGACTCGAACCCGCAACCTTTGGGTTACGAGTCCGACTCTCTAACCATTAGGCCACGACTTCCTCATATATATTTTGGGGGTTTCTTGCTTTTAGACTAGGCGACTAGTCGGATACAAAACTTTCGTTTAAACGAGTCAAATTAGTCGTCACGCACATCCCTACTATATATATATTTTTTTTGTTTGTTTTTTGTTTACACAATCTTTAAATAAATGTTTTGAAATTTATGCTTTATCTACAGCAAACTTTAAACAATTTAAGTATGTCCTTTAGAAATAAGCAAAAAAAATGTATAATATTAAATAGATTGAATAATATTAACATTTAAATAAAGATAATGATAATAATAGAGAGATTATTCTTAAAGTGTTAGTTCTCCCATACTTTAGTTAGTTCATTAATTACTCACCCTCGTGTTGTTCCAAACCCGTAAGACCTTCGTTCATCTTCGGAACACAATTTAAGATATTTTTGATGAAATATGAGGGCTCTCTGACCCTCCCATAGACAGCAAGGTAACTACCACGTTCAAGGTCCAGAAAAGTACCAAGATGATCGACAAAGTAGTCCGTGTGACATCAGTGGTTCAACTGTAAAGTTACGAAGTAGACTGGGAGGGTCAGAGAGCCCTCATATTTCATCAAAAATATCTTAAATTGTGTTCCGAAGATGAACGGAGGACTTACGGGTTTCGAACAACACGAGGGTGAGTAATTAAGGACAGAATTTTCATTTTGGGGTGAACTAACCCTTTAAAGTTTATGCTTTAGAAATAAGCATGCATTTTTATAGTAATATATAAAATTAAATATTAATTTTAAAATGATAATAATGAACAGATTTACTGTATATAGAGAAAGGATATTATGCTTAAAGTTTTGACATTTTAAGTTTATGCTTTAGAAATATTTAAAGCTTTTCACTTGTCAAATGTTATGGCAAACTAAAGCTAAAGAGATTCAGTAAAGCATCAGCTGTCAACGGCCAGTTTTGCAGTGGTTTTATGTCAGCTACACCTGCTGGGCTACTGTTGGAACGACTCTTCATCTAGGCTAGTTGTCTAATGTTTAGAGGCTACCTGGAAGCAGCTGGCATTCTGGACATCTGACAGCACGCATACTAACCTGCATGCTAATGTCGTATGGTGTAATGCTTCCTTCCGCTAGCAGGGATACGAACATGTGTGTACTCTCAGCGTCAGGCACACTGCCTGTTCGAGAGCTGGACAGTCTAACTGGTGATGCAGTGTCCTCTTCAGGAACCCAACCACAGGATTCCTCTCTGCTCCTGCTGATGACCTCATCCTCATTTTCCGTTCTGTCAGTCTCATTATTTCCTCCAGTGTCCTTCACAAACTGCTCGTCTTGATCCATTTGCTCAGAAACAGCCACGGAGGCCTCTGACTCACTCCCCCCAGATTGGTGTCCTTCTCGCTGGGCATGAGGTCCTGTTGAGTTAGCGTCCAGGTCCATGGTGGGTAAAGGTTCATTGGGATGGAAGTTCTCCTTGTCCTGGAGGGTTGGGTGGAGGATAACGGAAATTTGAGTAGGAGAGGCCCACATACAGGCTCTGTTTCTGGGTTGGGACTGAAAGAGAGAGCAGCTTCGAATAGGGGAACAACCCTCCACCAATGGGCTTTCTCCACATCGGTTCAGGTCCATGTATGAGCTGCCCATGGGAATGCCATCGGGGGACAGAAACGACAGCCTTTTCCTCTCACCTATAAAGACAAAGTTTTATAGCACTTCACATATACTTATCCAAGGTTTCCCAAGCGGGGGTCTGTGAGTTGGTGAAAAGCTAATTAATTAATTATATTGCAAGTAATTAATTTCAAAAATGATTAAATATTTTAGCTATTTACTTGCATGTCATATGACTATTATGCGACATCAGAGAATCGTGAACATGGTGTTAAATTATTGAAATATTTACCTCTGTATTAATATTACCTTCTCAAAGGGTACTTCAAGTAAAATGTTATGTCTAAGGGGTTCAGCTGACAAAAAAAAAACAAGTTTGGGAACCCCTGCACTTACATATATAGTCGTATATACAACAATAAATAAAAAAATTACAAAAAACACCTGGCACCATCTCAGAGTTCTCACCTGATACAGGCGTCACAGAATGCTGAAGTCTGATGGGCGACAGAATAGGAGACTTGAAAGCAGGCGACGATCTCTCTAAAAACATGGGACTTCCGACACTGCCCAGACTGTATGCTCGACACTGGCCTTGGATGGGACTGGATGAAAACTGGCCCTGAGGATTATGGATAAAACATAGTATTCAATTTTAAAGATCTCAGATATAAAGTACCCTTGATCCATATTTTACTGGTCTACAAGAGTGTAGTTGCACCCTTGTAGTTTCATCATCTATGATCTGGTACGTACAGACAAGGGCGTCCCAGTTGGAATGCCACACTGAAGTGGAGAGACAATAACAGAAGACATCATCTCTCGACTGCTGGGCGGGACGTTATGGGAATATCTGTCTGGGCTGGAAGGGGTAGAGGACTCAGAGCCGCTGTCATGGCCATCAAGAAACAGTTTCCGCCGCAATGAAGAGGAGCTGAGGCTCTCCTGCACCTGCTCGGTTAACTCTTCTGTCCTGTAGTAATCACCTGTTACAACAGAAAGGAAATTCTCAAGTTAATGTTTGTTCAAGTTGCTAATATTTGCCACGTTTAAATCATCAATAGACAAGATCTGACACTCCAAAATTGAAGATGAATTAAGTTATTTGAAGTCAGACTGTAAACAACCTTTTTGTATTTGACCTAATATTGTACTCAGTCAGACGCACTCTCAGGATTTTGTGGAGGGCATCTGGTTATGGATATACAGTAAGTGGTCATTGCATAAAAAGCTTGTAGAAATGTTTTAATATGAATAAAACAATGTAAGATTTTCACCATTTACTTATTATAAATTATATTATTGTCATTACGAATCCCCCTGATATGAGTTCTTAAAAGGACAAATATTTAATCTTATTTCTCAGGTCATATAAAAAATGCATACAAAGTATTAATAAGAAAAAAGCAAAATGGTGATTAAATAGTTTTAAAAGAAATATAGAATGTCACAGTGTTTTTTTAAAGTCTTATCTGCTCAAAACAGTAATACTACGAAACATTACTACAATTTAAAATAACTTTTTTCTATGCGAATATATTTTAACATGTAATTTATTCCTCTGATGTAAAGCTGAATTTTCAGCAGCCAATACTCCAGTCTTCAGCGTCACATGATCCTTCAGAAATCATTCTAAATATGCTAATTTGCTGCTCAGTAAACATTTCTTATTATCAATGTTGAAAACAGTTGTGCTGCTTCATATTTTTGTGGAACTGTTGTTTTTTTGAATATTAAAATGATCAAAAGAACACCATTTATTTAAAATAGAAATCTTTTGTAACATTATAAATGTCTTTACTGTTTGATCAGCTTCTTTCTAAAAAATAAATAAATAAAAATTACTTACTGACCCCATACTTTTGAACAGTAGTGTATTCTAAATAATGTTTGCCTTCATTTTGAAATGAAGTAATAATTAATAAAAAAAGGTTACCCAGAACTTTTTCAAGATTGAAGTCCACAGGTAGAGAGAGGACCGTCTGACAGATAGCTAAAACACAAACAAGCAAAGGCCAATTATTCTAAATCCACATATATCAAATTAATTCTAAATTTACAGTGGTGATCATTATTTTAGGAGTTGTCTTTGAGCTGCTGAACAAACCATGTATTTTCTTTGAAGACTGAAGCTCCTCTGTTACCAGTGGGGACAAAGGACCTAAAATGAGACAGTTTAAGTTAATATCTAAAAACTACTTTGGTTGTAATCAAGTAGCAAGAAAACATCTATTTTTTGTGTCGTGACTTACTTTTCTGATGTGGCATTTTTACAGATTGTTTAGCTGCTGGTGGTCCCCATGGAGAGGGAACAATTGCACCTTTAGTGAAAAACTGTACAAACAAAAATAACTGAATGAAGCATCTTTCTCTTTGGTAAAAACAAAACGCTTTCATGGACAGTACCTGTTTTATGTAAGGAGATGTAAAGCAGTTTTACCTGTTCAATAGCATGCTGCCGTTTTTCCTCAATCTCAGCATCTGCCCTTGATGTGTTAAAACACAGCTGAGTTAATATTACATTTAGTCATTTAGCAGACGCTAATGCGACTTACAAATGAGGACAATGGAAGCAATCAAAATCAACAAGAGAGAAATTATATGCAAGTGCTATAACAAGTCTCAGTTAGCCTATATAACACAGTACGCGTAGCAAGGGGTTTTTGTTTGTTTGTTTGCTTTAGTTTTTTTAATTATATAATAAATAAAAAGAAAACAGATAGAACAGAAAAAGAATAGAGCAAGCTAGTGTTAGAGGCCTTTTTTGCGTTTGTTAATTGCATAATAAACAAAAAATAAACAAATAGATAGAATACAAAGATTAGAGAAGCTAGTGTTTTGTTTTGTTTTTTTTAAGAAAACAAGCAGTTAGTAAATGAATAGAGTGCAAGTCTAAAAGGGGCAAGTTTTGTTTTTTTAAAGAATAGAATTAGAATAGAACGCGCTAGAATTAGAGGGTCAAATAAAGATGGAAGAGATGTGTTTTTAGCCGATTCTTGAAGATGGCTAAGGACTCAGCTGCTCGGATTGAGTATCATGAGAATATGAACAAATATTTACAAAAAACGACATTGTTGTAAAACACTACATATAAACATACTAACATTAATACCTGGCTTGGCTCAGAAACACAGCCTGGCGGTGAATATCCTCTGGGTCTATTTCCACAGGAAGTAAATTTGCCATTTCATCAATGGACCATTTGAACTTGGCTGGTGTCTACAACAAACAATACAAGAAGAAATTACGTTTCTCTCCTTTTTCGTGATTTCCCCTCATATGCGGAGTCAGATACTCACCGCTGATGAGCTCTTGGAGCTCTTGAACACCGACGGGCTGGGCACCAGGGGCTCATGCAGATGGTGGTAGTCGTTTGGGCTCTCAAACGGGTTCAGGATAGCAGGTCTTCCAGGAGTCTCGGGTGTTATATGAATCTCTGCTATGTCTCCCATCTTAAAAACGGCGTCTAGCCAACGCTTTAATAAGAAAGGAAATGAGTGGAAGACTGGAGATCCTTCAGAGTATCAACAAATCAGAGCGGTAAGCATTCTGTTTGATTATATATCATTGCATCTTATTAGTAATGATCAAACGATTACTGATCGTATTTTCTGCCTTTGTTAGTCTGCAGACTTTACATGTGTTTAAAAAGACAAAAACGGGTGATGAATATTCGTAATTAATACTTACAACGGAATGAAACTCAAACAAGCGCAACAGCGATCTCTGAATGGCTGTAACGTCTGATTTAATTTTCGCTCAAGAGGTGCTAGCCAATCACAATTCAGCAGAACATGCGAAACAACCAATCAGGTGACGAGAACGACCGACCTGCCGTCTCGACGTAACTTCCTTTCGCGCGACCAAAACTTTATTGACAGCTTTACCACGGCAAAAAGCGCGAGGTGTGAACAAAACGCAGTTTATGGATATTGTTTAATGCAGGATTTGTGACGTCGCCCGGTTTTTAATTCACAAATAGTTGAAAGACACCAGGGACTAACAGGAATAGACGTGTCACGGTCATGATAGCACGATAGCATCATGGCCAGTCCCGCGAATGCAAACGAATGCTGTCCGGGAGACTATGGATGGTAAGAGTAAAATGTTTAGAACAAAGAAATACTCTTTAAAGGGGTCATATGATGTTGCTAAAAAGAACAGTATTTTGTGTATTTGGTGTAATGAAATGTTTATGCGGTTTAAAGTTCAAAAAACATTATTTTCCACATACAGAACTGTACATTATTGTTTCTCCTCTATGCCCCGCCTTTCTGAAACGCGTCGATTTTTACAAAGCTCATCGGTCTGAAAAGCGAGGTGTGCTGTGATTGGCCAGCTATCCAGTGCATTGTGATTGGCCGAATACCTCAAGCGTGTGACGGAAAAGTTATGCCCCTTACCATATTTTGATGATGCCCAGTCAGGCCGGAGCGATGATTAAAAAACATGAAAAATATATAAAAAATGTTCATACACAGCTTGAGTAGCAAGATTGTGTTCAGTTTTTTACTCTTTCTTCCATTTTGTATTTTTTTGGTAAGAATAAGAAGCACTTCATCCAGTAGTGTCTTTCATTCCAACATAAGAAAACATTTCTGGAATATGCATCTGAAATAGCATTTAGATGTATTTACACAGTTTCTGTATCTCAGAGGGGACATGGATGCATTTCAGCTGCAGTTACAGATGCATACATAGGCCTAATGTTTTGTTTTTAACATAAAACGTTGAATACTGATATTTGAAATAATTTAAAACAAGAAAAAAATAGTCGAAATGTGAAATTAAAACCGCCAGTAGGTGACAGAATGTGACTGTTAATGAGTGAGTCATTGAGATTCAACCGATTCTGTTTCGTTGGCAAAATTGAGCAAAAACAAGCAATATTATGTCTAAGTGATTTGGTGATATAGCCTACTTGATAATGTCAGATCGCACATCATTACAACAACACTTACCACATTATCGCAGACGATGGTGTATCGCACAGCACACCCCAGACTCGACTTGAGTGGAAAATGAATCATCCGTTGTGCGCGCACTTGTTTGCACGTGAGCAAAGGTGTTTGTAGCAACTCGTAATGTAATAACTGCACATAATATAATTATCTTTCAATATAATAAATTTGAGCACAAAACATAATCATAGTTTTATTAAAAGAAATTTAGGCTTATTAGGCTACATTGTTTACACAAAATACACAACTTTTATTTTTTATAAAAAGCTTACTAATTTTGTGATTATGACGTTAGCCTAACGCAGTACACGTAGCAAGGTATTTTATACACACACATAAACACACACACACACACACACACACACACAAAGAAAAACAAGTAGATAGATAGATAGATAGATAGATAGATAGATAGAATAGAAAAAATAGAATAGAAAAATATATATATTTTTTTATAAAAAGAAGATAAATGTAGAATTAAAATAGAATAGAAAGTACTAGAGTTAGAGGGTCAAATAAAGGTGGAACATGTGTTTTTAGTCATTTCTTGAAGATGGCTAAGGACTCAGCTGTATATATACATATATATATATATAAGTATAATTATATAATTATGACAATATTACAATCTTTTTGGTCAGTTTATAATGTAATAAATTTCTCATAATGTAATAATTGTTACATTATGAGCTCAATATTTTATTACATTATGAACATTTTATTACAATAATAATGTAATACTTATTACATTATGTGCAGTTATTACATTATGAGTTGCTACAGTGTTTTTTAGGAGTTTAACTTGCAAACACCAGACCACTGATTCGTCAAACCTGCTTTCCTGCAGTCCATGTTCTTCTGACTTCTGACTATTTTGTAGTAAGTAACGAATATGCTTCGGGGAAATGTATCGGAGTAAAAGTATACATTTTAATTAGGAAATGTAGTGGAGTAAAAGTAAAAGATATAAAAACTCAGGTAAAGTACAGATACTCCCAAAAAATACTTAAGCACTGTAACGAAGTATTATTACACCACTGCTAATTTGACGTTCTCTGTATTGTTTTGGCAAGTTATTTATACTGGTACTGGTTTACACATTGCATGATTCATTCTCATCGCATATTTAGGCGCACTGTTATTTTAATGCAGCATATGGTGACGTGTAATTGTGTTTGGTTCTTACATTTCCAGTTCTCCTGGAGATATCAAGGCTGCTGAATACAGGATTGGACATGGAGTCTTTGTCAATATGTGTCCGTCTCTGTGAGCAGGGGATCAATCCCGAAGCCCTGTCATCAGTTATCAAAGAACTCAGAAGAGCCTCGGACTCATTAAAGGTAGTGGATTTGCGGTGACACAGTCGTGTTTCAGCTTCTCGCCGCTCATTGGTTTTATCCACTCTCCCTTATTGTGTATTGATGCCAAATCATGAATAGCCTGTGTTAAAGGGGTCATATGACGTTGCTAAAAAGAACATTATGTTGTTTTATTTGATTTTGTGGAAGAAACACCACCTGTTTTGAGTATGGGTCAAGGGTGCACCATTTTCAGGTCTCCATTGAATCGCCTTTAACAAAGACACAAACACCAGCATCAACAGTGTGGAGAATGATTGCGACCGCTTGTTGGAATGACAGGTGTTATCAACTAAAGCGGACCAGGCGTGTCTCTTCATGAGGCCGGCTAATGATGCACAACGATGGGGTAGTTTATTCCTCACTGTGAATTAGTATCATAAAGGTTGCCACAGTGACAGTAACATCACTCATCAGTACCAGCAAATAATTTCTGTTAGCTATATTTGAGTGACCATCAGTCTCCAAACAATATGCATCTGACTCCTACAGCACTTTATTAGTGAGTTTGTTCATGGTCAATTTTTTATAATCGATTTTTTTTTTTCAAGACAAACAGCAAGAGTTTGCAAAGTGAGCCTACACTGACTTAGGTTAATTGAACTTCTAAAAAAGGATGAAACTAAACACAATTAAGTATTCTGAGGTTGATGTGTAATTATCATATTCCCATCCTCTAATTCATGCATTAATTGCTTTAATTAGCAAAGCAATTAAAAAAACAATGCTTAGCTCTGTAATAGCATCCACCTTCAGTAACTATTTATGTAAATTCCCTTGTGTTTGGTGTAGGTTAATGAAATGTTTGTTATTAAATGGGAATTCTGTGTGTTCAAGTATGTAATTATCAATAGTTTAGCTTTAAATTTAATAATTGTGTTTTAACCTTCTAAGTGATGCATGCAATGCAACAAGGTTCTTTGTTCACAGGTATGTGATAAACAACTAGTTTTAATCTAAGGCTGATGGAAGTGACAAGACCCTTGTGCAAGGTTAATTGAAAGTTTAAAATGTATAATTATAGGTTAGATTCCCATTATTTTTTAACACAATTCCTTAAAAAGAATGGGGCTGATTACCTTTTTTTTTTTTGGAATATTTGCTCATAGACATTTCACTCTCTTATGAATTCATATTTTTATGGCTCTTGGACCCTGCATCTCTAAGTTTTATCTCCACCATACATTCTTTTCAGAATCTTATCCGCCAAAGTAAAGTTCCAGTATCATATTTTAAAGTGTCTACAGTACCTTATACATATACCATTCAAAAGATTTGGGGTCGGAGACTGAAAAGAAGATAACCTAAATATGGTAACATCTAAATAGACTAGTTTAATTCAGGTTCAAAATGTTATTTAACATACATCATTGAACTAACTTATAAACATCAATAAAACAAAGTGTTATGGGTTAAATCAGGAAATAGCTCAATTGTAGGATACCACTTTTTACAGTGCAATAACTATTTTTGAAAGTCTCTTATGCTCGTCAAGGCTGCATTTATTTGATCAAAAAATACAGTAAAAACAATATTATTGTGAAATACTACAATTTAAAATAACTGTTTACTATGTAAATAGGCTATAGCTATTTTAACATGCATGATGCAAAGTTGAATTTTCAGCAGCCATTAGTCCAGTCTTTAGTGTCACATGATCAGAAATCTATCTATCTATCTATCTATCTATCTATCTATCTATCGTCAAATTTACACTGCAAATGTGACAGAAGCACTTCTGAATTGGAATTTTGGTATTTTTATACAGTCAAGGCTATATACCCTTACCAAAAAGTAGTATACTTCAAGTTTATTTTAGCAAGTATGCTTAAGTAAAGTTCAAGTATATTTTAAGTATACTTTATGTAGTAAGTATACAAATATCAGTGTACTAGTAGTATACTTGTAAGTGTACTATTTCAATACTCATTGGGACTAAATTGGCCCACTTTCTAGTATATAAAAGTATACTTTTAAGTATACTTTAAGTATAACAGTAGTAAACTTTGAGTACACAACTAGTTTACATCAAAATGTTTAGTTTGTACTGCAACTATACTGCACACTTGAATAAACTTCTTTTTCGTAAGGGTAATGCTGCTCAAATGTGGTATAAATTCATTTACACAGCAATTAGCCTACAACTTGGCTGTGTCAAGACATCATCTATCTATCTATCTATCTATCTATCTATCTATGAAGAACATATTCTGGGAAACGGCTCAACGTGATTTGTCTCCCAACACACATCACAAACCACATTACAACGTCTCAATTAGCGTCGATTAATCTTTGCACAACTGCCACACCTGTCAAAAGACCTCTAAGAGAAAAGTAGTCCTAGCTTTTCTTTCACGCTTAATAATATCCTTTACCCTCTCATGTGGAATGTCAGGAAAACTCCACGTCCGACTGACTTGAACTCTTCCGGATGTCAAGCATGTTACTAACTTCATCAGAAGTGCATCAATTCCCATTAGCTGCCAATGAACGTCACCCGTTTGATCAGCGGCGCCGTTGAAATGCCACTTCGACTCTCATTAACCTCCACACCGGACATTTACCGCGCGTCCGAACCGAGCTTCCCACTAGACAAGCAAAAGGGGTTGATAATACCAATGCTCGTGTTGTGACAGCGCTATTTATAATGATTAATGATCCCGTGTTTTAGTTGATTACAGTGCCGCCGAGTCTCCATACTTGTTTCAATTAGTGTTGTGAAGG